CCTGAGCCAGTTTGGTGTAGTGGTTAAGGCATCTGGCTAGAAACTGGGAGTCTGAGTCCTAGTCCCACCAAAGGCACAAAGCCAGCTGGGTTATCTTAGGTCAGTCAATTTCTCTCAGCTTTAGGAAGCAGGCAATGGCAAACCACTTCTGAAAAACCTTGCCAAGAAAACTGCAGGGCCTTGTCCAGGCAGTCTCTGAGGATCAGATATGATTAAATGAAAGGGGGAAAAAAGCCATTTAAATGTTTAGTGTAAATAAGTTTTTAAAAACTATTACAAAGTATTTAAGGGAAGTAACAAAATGACCTTAGATTTTCTGGAATAACTTTGACTCATTTACCAGTAGTGAACTGAAGACACTACTCTTTCCCCATACGTTTTTGTCCTACACAAGGATTTCCACAATATCAACTTAGTTCTGCTTTTTTAAAGGCAAATGGACATACCTGAAAACATAATGCTGGCTGCACTGCACCCGCCACTTCTAATTTGAACTTAATTTTAATTTAGTTTGTGAAAATACCTATGAAGGAAGCCATCATTTGCACATTTAACCAAAATAATACTTAAAAATGGACCATCAACCTCACATAGGACAAAGATACCATGTTACCAATCTTTTGCTGCAACTGAGAATTGGCTTTATACTGCAGAAACATTTTTGGGATTGCAATATTGAATCTGGCAGTTACAGATTCTTACAAGGAAACAAATCAGTCCAACTGAATTTTATATAGTTTTTTCTTAGGTAAGTATAACATGCAGCCTCAGTATATAGGATTATATTGTTAATTTATTCATTCATTTTACCCATGTCCCACCAGAATTTATTGACTCTTAATTGTTACGATTACAGTAGAAATGGCCTGCTGATGTTTTCTTTAAACAGTGTAGTTTCATCCTGAGTTATGTATCAAATGTGTTTCAAAGGACAGGTCTGAACCGAATTTCAGTAGAAACCTGTTGATCAAAATATATACTACTCTAAAAAAGAGCTTCAAAGTGTGCAGGTGTATGCATTTTTCCAAGGTGATATGAAGGCTTAACTGTCTGTTTAGTTCTTCATGCAACCTGTCAGGAAAAATATAAGAGGAAAAACGAAAGTGAGAAAGCACCTGCCACTTCAGATGACATCTGAAATTAAACTGGCAATCTTCGGAACAAAAAAGTATGATTTTGCTCTAGATTACAAAATGTTGCTTTGCTTACTTGAGATAGTAATTTCAACTGGACTAGGTGCAAAACTAGCAATCGAACATGATTGATTAAAATTTTCACAGCATGTGGAGCAAATAATTTAATTTAAAACAACAGGGCAACTAAATGCACAAGAACTGGTGCAGTCTTTTGATGTCCTTCCTGTTATAGGATTTTACCCAACAAATTAATGCAAATTGACTCCATTAGGCATTCCTCCTCTTTCTCAAACAAGTGATGGCTTTCTGCATAATGAATTTTATCTTAACAAGGTTAAGACGAAATTGGAGAAGTCCACTATGAAAATCCTGACTTGCTGTTGCTGAATACAACAACATCACTACTGTTATCTGTGTGCGTTATTAAAAAGAATAAAGTAAGAGAGAAAACTGGTAAAATGCCGGATAGAAACTGGTATTTGTGACCCTTTCCCCTTTTAAATTTCTTAAGTCAAAATAAAGAAGCCTTTGACTTCAAAAAGGATATTCAAATGGATAGATCAGCTTTCCTACCATAGGCATACATTCTTAAACACATGGCTATCAAAATGATGAAATGTGTTTCCTCCTTTTGTACTTGCGTGCCATATCGCAACCATCTAAGAGAAGTTTGTTGCAACATCATATTAAGTATTCCATTTCCTGCCTCTTTAGCAGATGCCTATACCAGCTAATTTTTCTTGATAGCCCTTCTTCATTTTTAGAAAATAATTGACTTGCCCCTACCTCACTTTGGCCAATTTGTCTGTCTGGAAAGCCATTTACTAGACAGTAACAAATAGTATTTTAAAAAAATTACAAACAACTGATAAAGCCACACGACCCCCAAAGTAACTCTGCCCAATGTACAAGGTTTAAAAGCAACAACAATGTAATAATAAAGTCCTTTTTACTGGTCTGCCTTTTTATTTATTGCTTTGCCAGTGAAGTTGAAATGCATTACCACATCAGTTACTGAAGTATAAAGGAGATAGAGCACTGCTTTTGAAATCTACTTATTGCAATTCATTGGGATTTAGCCTATGTCCTCCCACAAATGGAAATTCATGGTTTCAGTTTGGGAATTTGAACTACATGCTGATGATGTCTATGAGAACTAACAAGCTCTGGACCAAGTTCTACTTACATAAACTTACTAAATGTAACTAGAGCTTGGTCATGCCAACTATAAAGATATTTATTACTTGACAGTGAGAAGAATTAATCAATGGATTCACTTGCTTTCAGAAGTTGTGGGTGCTCCTGCAGATTTAAAAGAAGAGATTGGACAGCCATTTGTCCAGAATAGTATAGGGTCTCCTGCTTCAGCAGGAGGTTGGATGAGAAGACCTCCAAGTTCTCTTTCAACTCTGTTATTTATTCTGTCTATGCAAGACCAATGCAAAGAAATAACAGTGGAACACAATGCTGTATACCAAAATGAAAGATGCGAGTCCCATCAAAAAACAAAACAAAAAACCCACCAAACACCCTTCTTCCAGTTTCCTTCTCAAGCACAACAAAATCCAAATGTTTTTCTCAAAGCAGATCTTTTACTCTTGGCCTACCACAGGTTTCTTTTATGTCTTTCTAAAGCTGTGTGTCAGTTACAAGTCTGAGCCATGGAACTGTCCTAGAATGGAAGTGTACAGGCCCACTACGTTTTCCTTCACAAGAAAAACAGTAGGTACTGGTTTCTGTGAACAGGCATAAAGCTAGCCTACTTAAAACCAGAGCCCCAAACCAGATACTATTTTCATCATTGGCACCATGCCAAGAAAGGTGAAGTTATCAGATGCTTCCATGCTTTGAATGCCTTTTCTTTCATTGCTGAAAAGAGCTCAAAGAAGCTGTAAGAGGAGGAAGCTAACAAATTGAAAACACATTTTCCAGATGCATTCCTAAATCTTGTCATCCTTCAAATTAAGCCACCTTTCTGTCCTGCATAATTAGATAGAAATACAATCTCATATGAATCCTATAGATAACACAGTTGGCACATTAATTCTTGTGAATTAGGAAACTATAATAATATCTGGCAGATTCATATAGGACTCTCTTTTCCTATCAGATGATATGAAATCTCAGGAGTGTGTAGAAGAAGTATTGTAAGCTAACCAGTTTTATCAATCCAATTGATAATATTGGGAGTAAATCTATCAGAATAAATCAGTTTGATTTGGGGCTTAAAGCACCTGGCTAGAATCCTCGAGACTGATTTATTTATTTATTTATTAAATTTATATCCCGCCCTTCTTGCCGAAGGGACTCAGGGCGGTGAACAGCTGAGACTGAGCATTCTAGTCCTACCTTAAGGACAAGGCAAGCTGGGTGGCCTTGGGCCAACCACTCTCTCTCACCCCTAAAAAGAAGGCAATGGCAAACCACTTCTGAAATCCTGTAAAACAACAACATAAACCCTGCAGGCAGTGACCAAAAATCATCATTTACTAAACAAAACCCTCCATCAGAAGACCTGGACAGCCTTGCCAACTATAACTTTATCATGCTGCCATGGAGTCTGAAAAAAACCCTCTATAATGTGATAAACCGTATTAGACTTTTTTTGTGTCTGACTAGGTGGCTCAGTACCTGACTAGGTGGCTCAGTGGCTAAGATGCTGACCTTGTCGATCAGAAAGGTCGGCGGTTCGAATTCCTAGTGCAGGTCTCCTGCGTGAGCAGGGGGTAGGACTAGATGACTTCCAAGGTCCCTTCCAACTCTGTTACTGTTAAGACTCTAGAGTTGAATCCAAGCTTCCGCTCTACAAAGTGGGGAACAAGGCTGACCGTATAATTGGCTCATCATCATCACCTGTTAAGACCTGCCTGGCTCATCCTCACCACAGTTAAGATCTGCCCATAGAAAAGAGACATCCAAAATCAAGTGTACTTCTCTCACAACCTGAGACTCAATACTTCTGATGCATTCAATGCAATCAAGAAACATCAAGGGAAAAGTTTCTGATTTACCCCTAACACTAGAAGCCAAGTCACACTGAACCCCAGTCAAAGCTTAATTCATCTTCCCAACAACCAAACTGGGGAAATCTGTAGCATTTTATTATGCTTAACGTAAACCATCAAACTATTGTGACCACCCCACCAGTGGTGGGATTCAAAAATTTTTACTACCGGTTCTGTGGGCGTGGCTTGGTGGGCGTGGCAGGGGAAGGATACTACAAAATCCCCATTTCCTCCCTATCAGCTGGGACTCGGGAGGCAGAGAATAGATGGGGGTAGGCTAGTCAGAGTGGTATTTACCGGTTCTCCAAACTACTCAAAATTTCCACTACCAGTTCTCCAGAACTGGTCAGAACCTGCTAAAACCCATCTCTGGCCCCCACCCAACACAGACAGGCAAGACAGACAGAATATAAACTGACAGCAAACAGCACTCCTTTTACTAGCACTGATGATGTTACCTAGTTAGGGTAATGAAACGTCTGCAAGAAAACAGGCAAGCTCAGAGAGCACCAAGGACCTCTTATTGTGACTTTTTCCGATATTGTAACAGACGGAGAGTAAACACGCTGCCCCTCGCTTGTAGCCATTTGAACCCCCAGTCCCGAACCCGATCAATGTTTGATGCGCCAAGAACTGATCCCTTACCCAAGACTCTTAAATTATTCCAGATCCAACAAAATCTCCTCAGTCGCACTTGAGAGGCGGGGCTTTCTTTTTAAAGTTTTAGGCAAAGAAGAAGGAACCTAAGGTTGGAGGAAAACTTCCCACCGTCTTCTGGCATAAAGCAGCGACTTTGTTGCTGGATCACAGGAGCCCCTAAAACTATTCCTTGCAATACACGTCTAGGCAGCGTACTTACTGGATTAAAGCCGCTTTTTCCTTTTTACTGGCCACTCTGACAGGCTTTAGTTCGTCCCCGTCAGGCTGAAGATCAGTCATGAGCACCATCGGGAAGCAAAAGTTCGCCTCTGATCTGTCGTCTCCTCTGGCTCTATTCCCTCCCTTCTCCCTGTTGATAATATTCAAATAGGACTCCCTCCGAGCATTTCCAGCGTTTCCTCCTTCCTATCACATTACACTACTCCGCAAGCTCAAAGCACAAAATGAGACCGAGCGCGGGGTTTTTTTCCCCCCTTTCTTTTTCTTCCTTAGTCCCTTAACTATCCTGAGCGAGTTTGAACTGGTATGGTTGCCCGCCCAGCCTTATAGGCTGATGCACAGAGGGAGGAGAGAAAGAAAGTCCGGGAGGGAGCCAGCCTCCTTCTCGACCCATAAACTCTGGAAGGAAAGAGAAAAACCAGTCCCACCAGCTCGTCGGAGATTCAACCGATTACTCAAGCGCGGAAACGACAGCTCTTTTTACAGCTCAGCGGCTTTGAAAAAGTCGGATGAGAGGGTTTAAAAAAAAAAAAAAATCGAGAGAAGATGGAGATCACGGTGGGACTGAAGGGACTGAAGCAATGAAATCTGTATTAAAAGTTTGCCCAGTGGAGTGGAGAAAAAAAAAAAGTTGGAAGGTCATTTGGCCTGATCCTAAATTCTTGATAGGACTCCCTTCAAGGCACCTTAGGTGACTCTAAGGCTTATTACAGAGCTTTAAATGATTCACAGCTGGATGTTTCCTGCTCAGCGATTGTCACTCGGTGGCTTATGAATACAAAAGGACCTCCTGAATGTTTCATGTGGGAATAGCAATGAGAGGAGAAGAGAAAAGGCCCTTTGGTCCCTGGTGCCTGATCTCACCTGAGGACTCACCTTGACCGCTTGGCTTGAAACAGTGGCAGTGAGCTGTATGGAGATTGGCAATGGGGACAGGAAATTGCAGATTGGGCAAGTTTTCTGCTGATTTGAAGAATAGGCGGGGAGTGATTCAGTTTCCCAGTGTGGAAGGGCTTGAGGCAGGTAACCTACAGGTTCCAAGCATGGAGAACCAGTGGTGAAATCCAAATTTTTTTACTACAGTTCTGTGGGTGGCTTGATGGGCATGGCAGGGGAAGGATATTGCAAAATCCCTATTCCCTCCCCACTCCCTGGGGGAAGGATATTGGAAAATCTCAATTCCCACCCTACTCTGGGACCAGCCAGAGGTGGTATTTGCTGGTTCTCCGAACTACTCAAAACTTCTGCTACTGGTTCTCCAGAACCTGCTGGATTTCACCCCTGTGGAGAATCCACTCAGTACTCCCATACTGCTAAGCTAGGAATCCGGCCTTGCTTGGCAGATAGGATGGTATTGGGTAATGGTAAATTGGGCATTCTGAGAGTTTTAGTCCAAACATTTGGAGAGTAGGGAAGGGTGAAAAAAAACCCCTGGTTTTGAGCTACTATTGTCTTAAGAGTAGTAAGACAACAGATAGCTTGTTATATTAGTCAATGTCAGTGTTTCTCAGTTTTAACAACTTTTAAGATGTATGGACTTCAACTCCCAGAATCTCCTAGTCGCCTGGATGGGGAATTATGGAAATTGAAGTCCATATATCTTAAAGTCACCAAAGTTGAGGTTCTATGTCATCTTTTTCTAACTGCTTGGAGAGCATTTAAAAAAAATGAGAGGATTTTCTTTGCATTTTTAACCAGAGAGTGCATCATTTGTCCTGCCTTATCGTCTTGAATCTGTTAAAAATGACAAGGCCTCCTAACAATGAAAACTTTGAGAAATCAACACAATTACTTTTTATGTTTTTCTCTTTAGTGGAGTTACGTGCTCTTTCCCCAGGGGTCACTTAACCTGCAATGACTTTCAAAAGATTCAGCCAGATTGCCTAACATAATGACCACATTGATGTTGCTGTACTGAGCCTCACTTCTTTCTTGTGTAATGTTAGGTGATTTCAAATCTTTTGTATGCTTCCTGTAAGGATTATGTCATTTAGAGTAGCTTGTCCCCTTTTCTTACCTCTAGGCCACTTTATGAAAGTATAGCTGAGAAATGCAGTTTAAAAATTGTTAAATGCTACAGGAATTCAGGTTAGCATTCTGATATGATCTGAATCTCCTGGACTTGAGTAGTTAGCCACAACATTTTGCAGTTGATTGTGCTCATGGTTCTCACAAGTGGTGAAATGTAAAATTTATTACTACCGGTTCTGAGGGCGTGGCTTGGTGGGGGGTAGGTAATGTGACTGGGTAGGCGTGGCCAACTTTTTTTTTAACTTTTAAAAGCATTTTTTCTACAACCTCTTCAGCGAGTAGAATGTAGAAAAAATGCTTTTAAAAGGCTCTGAAAAGGCTCTGACGATCCCAGCTGAGCTGCCCAATCATTAGAGGCTTTATTTTTTTTACTTTTAAAAGCATTTTTTCGGTGGAAGAAAAAATGCTTTTAAAAGTTAAAAAAAAAGCCTCTGATTATCACGCGGCTCAGCTGGGCATGGGGTGGGGCAGGGATTTTTGCTACCAGTTCTCCAAACCACCCACCATCATCGCTATCGGATCAAGCGATCCGGTCCGAACCAGAAGCATTTCACCTCTGGTTCTCTCTCATCATACTAAGAAATCCCTGCAATTTTGAGATTCTGAGGGCAGTAGAGACCTCCCTGGGCACATCTCCCCTCTATTGCTAGTTATAACATGGGTTTTCATTTGAAACAGATGAGGAATCCAAACACACTAAATTCATACTGTATATCAGGGCTGTCAAACTTGTGACCTGCAGGCTGGATGTGTCATGTGCTGGCCACACTCCGCCCGATTTAGCGAAGGGGAAAAAAGTCCTGATACGTCACGTGATGCCGCTGTAATGACGCAAGTTTGACACCCCTGCTGTATATGGACTGATCTGATCTGTGTTTCCCAGACTAACATACAGTTTGGAAATCTTGCAGCTCTGTCACTTCTGATTGGCCTGACATTTCCTGGCTTAAAACATATCAAAATAAATTTTAAAATGGGTGAAAGTTCACTTGACATATATTTTACACATTTAAGTATAAATTTTCATGCATAGTAAAAAGATATAGTTCAATGCAGAAATGGGGTGGAAGGAACTCTATTTTCTAAATATAGTGATTCACCAATTTCTAGGATAAATCATTCCCTATGGAAGTATGAAAGATATAGCACAATATTAAAATTGTGATACAAATTGGATGTAACTATTTAAATCATCTTACTCTAGCAAATATAATTACCAATACTTGCAACTGAATCAGAATCACTGGCACTATTTGCATTATATTGTTATCAAATTAATTTACTAAAAAACATTCACAGTCATGTGGCATTAACTAAATTGGATTAGATCAAATTGTATTTTTAAAACAAATTATTTTCATTCAGTATGCAATATTTATTTAAAATAAAGATACAATTTCAAAAAATATTTCAATAGGTAGGCAAAGTAAATTACTGAGGTTATACAACTCAGTATAACCTCAGTATAAAATTAATAAAGCGTATCAAGCAAAGAGCATTAAGTTATTTTTATGATGTGAAAAAGAATATAAATCTTTGAGATCAGTACCAAAATCTCCACCATGTTATTTGTAAATACGAAAAGAAAAAAAATAAGTAAAAAAATAATCTACTAAAAATAATAAATGTAAGTATTTGGTTTCTGTCTTTCTCCTTCTTTGCACTCTGATTTATAGTGTTTGTAAACATACACTTTAAATATCACACTCTAAAAGTTTATATTTGTCTTGCTGTGTTACACAGACAGACAGATATAGATATATAGAGTAATGGAAGCTATTCTTGTTTAAATGTAGTTATTCTTCTATTATGTGTGTACACTATTCATTTTGCCATTGCCACATATTCTCTAAATTTAAGTTCCCAAAGCAATGTTTGTTTTCCAGCCACTGAATACATGGCCAATTTTGTGAAGAATCAGTGTGGTGCGATAATTTTTTCTCTAACAGTTGCCACTCTACGAGTTAGGTTGGACTGAAAGACAATGATTGGTCTAAAGTCACACTAGACTTTGGGGGAAAAAATGAAGGAAAAAGCAATGAACTCTGCTTTGGCAATAAGATAAATCAGTTAACAAAAGGAAGAAATAAAACTATTTTAGTAATCTCGAAAAATGGCTGCCGTAAGAGGGGTTGGGCTTATTCATGAAGGGCTCCCTAGTTTTTGTAAATAGTCAGAACATCTATTTATTAAAGGACAAACTATTGAGAATTCTAAGTACCACATCATTTTAAATTTGTCTTTTTTCCTCAATAGAAGGGCACCTATTCAGATCAAGAATCAGGCTCCAACCATTCACCATGTTTATTTTTCTTGGATACTTACATGATCTGTGTCAGGCCCGGAGCTATTCTTGGAAATAAAGCTGAAAAACTGATGTGTTGTGTGTGACATGCCAGTTACACATTTAATTTCTTTTAATTAAAAAAAAAAATAAGGCAAAGGGAGCAGGGAGCCTGGCAGAAGCAGATTGCCAGTTTGTCACATTAGTTATTTATGGCGAAAATGTGCTATCCTGCTGACTAATACAAATAATTTTCATGCTAGTTTCATCAAATTAATAGAAAAATTATAATCAACAAATGTAAACAATGGATACTTTATGAAATCATTAAAGGAACTAATTTAAAAAAATACGATTGCCAGATAAAATACATGGTTGTGAAAGACAACTTGAGCTATTTAAGTCACTAACATAATTTTACTAAAGGAAAAACTATGTGAACTATAAATCTTAACTTGCATTTTTTGTAGATTGTTCTTCTGTTGTAATTTTCCACCCTCAAAGCTACTTTTGGTATAAACACTTCTGTAGGAAACTTAGTTTCCTCCATATTGCCCAATCTAAACGTATTGAAGATTGATCATTCCACATATATGAAAACTGATCATTCCACATTTTAATCATCCTTGGTTGGACTTGGAACTCTCATGCTATCATTTTATCCTTTGTGTGTGTTAAAGTGTTTGCTTTACTTTTTGCTTAGTAAAGAACTGGGAAGCTGGAAAAAAGTACTCAGTTCCCTACTGTCAGTTCAATAAAATAGTCTGAGTGGAGTTATGATTTACTGTGTTCACATGAATTCCATCTAAATATGTATCTTCCCTTAGGAAGTTGAACGTTATGAACAGCAGATTTACAACAATCCTTAAGTTCCTCTCCATGAAGTAAAGAGTGCAGAAAGCCAATGTTTCCTATTGTATAATCGGGAGCTGGCAGAAGTATATAATGTGTGAAAAACCATAATTTATTTAGTTTACAGTTATCTAGAATCTGCAAATATGAAATTCCTTAAAAAAGTCAAAAATGAATTTAGGCTTTGGAGATGGAAAAGTGTGCATTCTTATTCTGG